TATAATTCAGGTTAATTGTTACTTCTCACTGAATTATCATATGCTGATAGGATTAGTACAGAATTATGAATGGCTACAAAGAAAAGGAAAACAAAGCAATCTGTATTGCTGTCAACCCTTAATGTGCACTATCATTGTGATAACAGCTTTCAGTAAATTGCAGTTTTTCTTTGTGGTGGTTTATTCACACATTTAATCATTTTCTTCCAGCATTCCCTCAGCTGTTATGACAGTTACTCTATCTGGTTTTCCAGGCATGTAATCTCTAACCATTCATTTTTGAGGGTCCAGGTTCATCATCTGGTTGCTGCTGATTGAAGGGTATTTAGAAATACCTATCCCTTTCTTTTCCCTCTGAAGCAATCATAAAAGTGGAATTTAAGCTGTTGTAAGAGTAGGCAAAATGCATTGCCTGGTATCTTTTAGTCAGGGGAGAGCTCTATGTCTTCCTGCAAACAGGATTTTTCCAGTTTTATTAGGTCTTTAAAATGACTCCTTGTATTACCTGAAGAATTTGAGGTTTGTGTGTGGCTTATCATTGCCATCTGTGCTTTTCCTCCAGGTTATATTCTGCAGTACTCAGAAGATAACAGTGAGCAGTGGGGCAGCTTTCCCATCAGCCCTAGTGAGAGGTCCTACAGGTTAGAAACCCTGAAATGTGGCACTTGGTACAAGTTCACTTTGACTGCTCAGAATGGAGTGGGGCCAGGACGCATCAGCGAGATCATCGAGGCCAAAACGCTTGGAAAAGGTCTGTTGGTTTCCATCTCCTTTGCTCGTCTAAAGCTCTTGTGTTCTGCTGGAGATCTTGGTTTGATGAAAAGACAGGCTTGGATAGTTAATATTATTGGCTTTGGAAACATTTCCAATTCTGTCCATGCTGTGACAGAAGAGTCTGTTGCTGAGGGACTTGAAGTCTCTATTGGCTGATGTTCTATCCTTATGTCTTTAAACAGTTTTTCATAGGATGATATTTGGAATGTGTTAGTAGATATTTGGGAAGGAGGTGTCTCCACTATCACAGGCTATAGCAATTCCAACTACTTTATTGCCATGAGGAAATTGTTCACTTCTTATAAAAAAATCAGGGGTTTATTTGTCTGGATGTTGAAGGAAGACAGGGAATATTTTTATGTATAAAAGAAACCAATGTCTTATTTCTGCTCCAAGATAGTATTGCAGAAGCTGTGCAAGTATCATCCTTTGAATAGGGCAAGTGTCAAAAATAAAAGTTCACAAAAAGTTCTGCAAGGCAAAACAAACAAAATTTATTGAATTCTTAGTTAGCTCAGCAGTGAGTCCCTTGTGTCAGAATTATGAGCAAATTTGGCTACAGACCCACATAAAGGGGCACTTTACAGAGTCTTGCCCTAATGCCAAGGGTGTGTAGCAGCTTTGCATAATGCTCTACAAATCACCTCATCTTGCATCTCTTCACCAGTTTTAAGAAACACTCCCATTTGGGGGAGCAGTTTCACAAGAGAGGTTATTTCAGGCAGAGTATCAGCCATTCTCTATGCTCTCCATCACACCTGTGCTGTTGCAGATCTCCCAAGCCTCAGACCATGATTGATGATGTTTCATTGACACTCAGTGACATAGGGAAGACCTGGCATGGAATATGTGAGTGGTAGGACTTAGTGAAGCTCAGGGTGGGGAGACTGCAGCTTGGCTGTGAATGTGCTGAGATTACTGTGGTCAGGGAGAATCATCTGCTGACCTTCAAACAGGAGACATTGAGAGAAGTCGAGTTTTCTTATTTTCATTGCATGAGATGCAAAGTTTACGCATGCTTCAAATAACATCTAAATCCATAGAATTGTTTGGTTTGGAAAAACCCTGTAAGATCATTGGGTCATGACAGGGCAGATCTCCCAACCTTTTGAGTTTCCCTAGAACTTGATATAAATGCTGGAAACTACCTGAGTCACAGGTAGTGAGCAGGGACATTTACTGATATGAAGTGACTGTGCTAGATTTACAAGTTAAGTCATGCCAGTCCCTGCAAACGAGCAAGTCAGGTACATATGGAGATGTATGGATATTTTTTTTCACATGTGGACTTGAAAATTTAAGTTTGTGAGTCTGGCACAAAGTGTGAAAAGACATTTCAGAAGGAGGACAGGGAGAAGTTGAATATATAGACACTGACTTTAACATAAAGTTCAGATTGTCCTAGAAATTATTCTCTTAATTTTATATTTTGGGAGGATTTCATCTGCAATACTTAAGCATTTCACTTGAATTATACCATTGCCTTTAGAGCCACAGTTTTCCAAGGAACAAGAGCTCTTTGCAAGTATCAATACCACACGAGTGAGGCTGAACCTGATAGGCTGGAATGATGGTGGCTGCCCCATCACCTCTTTCACCCTGGAGTACAGACCTTTTGGGACGACAGTCTGGACAACGGCTCAGAGGACATCCCTGTCCAAGTCCTACATCCTGTATGACCTCCAGGAGGCAACCTGGTATGAACTGCAGATGAGAGTATGCAACAGTGCTGGCTGTGCAGAGAAACAAGCCAAATTTGCTACACTCAATTATGATGGCAGTAAGTATTTCTTTTTAGTTATGTCTCAGTTTTACCCTAGTTTCATATATGATCTTTTTTTACTCATCTTCCATTTTTTTCCCCCATTAACCCCCTTTTGAATCCGCAAGTCATGTTGTCAGAGGGGTTATCAAAGACATCAGGTAGGGTTATCAAAGACATAAAGTGTCAAAGACATAAAGTACTTACTGATTCCCTGACAATAGGCTGCCAGGCAGGAAAGTGGAATTGTTTATTTGTCCTCAGTGAGGAAAACCTCCAGCACCGAAGTCAATCAACCATAAGACATGTAACCATAGGACACTAAGTGTCATTAGTTCCAGTGGTTACAGAGGTACTTGATGGTATTTCATGCATCTCTTCCATGAAATTCTTGTCTCCCATACAATTGGTTCCTGCAGCCATTCACAGGGGTGTGTGGCCTCATTGCTATTCCATGCAATGTCCTTGTGACACAGCCCAAAACCTGTTATGTGACACAACAGAGCAGCTAAATAGTTTGTCTTCCAGGAAAGCCTCTGGACAACATCCTCCAAGGGCAAAGGAATGGCACTGTTATTGTCCCTGTTTACAGACAGGGGAGAGTGAAACTAATGGCCATGACAGATGGCTTTGTCATACCCAGCAGCAGAGCACAGGGGATGGAGGAATTGTTGCATCCTGCCCTTCTGCCAGGGGTTAGTGCCCACCCTGCAAAAACCAGGACGAGAGGGCAAGAGCAAACATGCCAATTTGTCAGTCACTCCAGCTCACATCCTGGCAGGCTTGTTGGAAGGGATGCTGGCACATGTGTGCTTCTGCTGGCTCTGTAGTGGGAAATGGCTGTATTTCTGGCAAAAAAGCAGCACAGATGGCTCCAGATGGCAATCTCTTCAATTGCTCTAGTGTGAATTGCCAGAGCTTTGCTGGAGACATCCAGTGTAAAAATCTTGCTGTGTTGCCAGGGATATTGTGCTATATTGTGTGACCACTTGGCGACATCTGTACTGCTAAATTAAACACCAGGACTAGTGAGCAAGTTCAAACAACATCTGACAGTTGTCCAGTGACAGCACCAAATTGCTAATTGTTCATAACTCTGTGTTGGGAACACATCTCCCTGCCACAGTTTTGTCCCACACAAGCCATTACTCTCCATGTATAGCTCAGGGTAGAGCAGGGACCATTCCCAGTCTGAAATGTGGGGTATGACTCAGGCAGGGTTTAAACCTCAGCATCTTACACATCCTTTACTGCTGTCCCAGTCTTTGAGCTGGCTAATCAGCAGTTCTGGCAGATAATTAATGACACATGCCCTCATGGCTCACCCTTTTGCTAAATATCATTTTTGGTAAGCTGCCACAGAGTCCTCATGTTGTTTCAGTCTTAAAAATTTAAGGGTAAGATCTTGCCTCAGCACTTCAGAGGCACGAACAAAACCAGGATCCAAGGAGTTGCTCTACAAATGCTGCCAGGTCTTGCCAGGTAGATGTAGGACTTGTTTTATTGACCAGTATAGGTGTTGTCAATGGTGACTGTTTCAAATATTATGAGTTAACTTCTTGCCACTTTACTTAGCCTATCCTGATTTCAAATTTCAGTTTTCAGATTTTCTGAATTTATTACATTTTATCCAGAATTAAAATGACAAACTGATTATTATTATCATCTTTATTAAAAATTAAGATAGTCTATTCCTACATAAGAGATTGCCTAGAAGTATTTCAGTTCTTCTAAACCAAAAGTTGTCCCTACAGCTCCCTGTTCATTTGCATAGGCTGAAGGAGCTTCAGAGTTGGAAAATACTGTGTTATTAGAAATCAACATTTCCTATCAATACTTCATGCAGAAATTTTGCTTTCACAGAGGGTGAATTTTTTTCTTCAGAAAGCATGCCAGGGGAAACTTCTTGGCCAGTTCCACTTTGTAGTGGTACCCCTACCTCTACCTTTGATTCATCCTGTGATGTGAGATTAGCCCTTTCCATCTTCTGGGGGTCACAGTTGCCCTTAGGATAAAGCAGATACAAGGGTAGTGCTTTGAAGATTAGATAATATGGTGTAGGAAAGTTCTAGGATACCAAATGCTAAGAACAAGCTTAGAAGCTTTAGCAGCCTTGAGATAAAGCCTTTGTAAACTTTGTAGAAATCCTTGAGTTATGTGGTGTTTCAGTCACTTTGGACTGCAGCAGCTGATTGCTGCCTGTGGTAGAGTCCTGAGAAATACCATGGCTAAGCATCCTTCACCTTAAATCTCTTCATGGTGGATTAGGTCACAAGGTTAATAGCAAACCTACGTGGAACTTTTTGCTCTCCGTTCATAGGTATTTCAGCTAACGATTTCCAGCTTACAGATTTTCTGACCTCTCTGCCCCTTGTTTTTCAGAACACTTGCGCTCAATACTCCTGCAGATATTTTTAGCACGGTGCAGTTGTAGTGTGTAGCACTGCAAAGGAGCTGCCCAGCTCAGAGATCAGCTACTCAGTAGCCCTGGCATTAAATCAGATCAGCTTGGTAGCTGCTCTAAGCTATACTAATTGATTCAGGCCCACCAAGGGACTTCCTACCATGAAGAACAGTGAGGACACAGGAAAACACTTAGTACTGAATTCACAAGGTGCAACAGGAGATGCTGGAAGGGCTGAAACAAAGGGGAAAATGGGGTCAGAGACATTCAAATTACAACTCCTATGTAGCACCAATCAGACTAACAAAGGGCAATGGTGAAGTGACCTGGAAAAGAAAACAAACCCTCCCAGTTTGTCTGAGACTTAGTTCTGTGCAAAGCTATTTTCCACTTCCAGCCAGCACCTAGAATGATAGCAAATGTTGGAATGGTGCTTTGTCAATGGATAGCAGGATTAATTTTCAGTCATTTCTAATACAACGGCTGATAAGCCAAAAATGGATAATGTGAAGGATATATAAACTAGCAATCTGCATTTTTAATTAAGCTTTAACTGCCTGTATATAATGTTATGAGGTCTGTGTTTTACTTGGGAGAGGTACGGATAATGATAATCCCTTACCCAAACACTTAAGGTTGCACTGAAATTAAAACCACTTGTAATTTGATTTTCATCAAAGTATTAAGGAAAGCAAGGCAGAAATTTAGGTAATCTTGAATTCAACAGTCTTTAGCCAATGTTCTGTGTGACTGAAAAAACTTTGGCCCTTTAGTATTCTGGAGGGTTTAGGAGGATTTAGAGACAGTTATTAGTATTACATTCAGGAGCTTGAAGTTCTTTCCATTTCTTCATCTAGTAATTTGATTTGCCTTTAGAGTAGTGTAAAAACTGCATCACAGTTGGGACAAGATGATAAAACCCTGCTCTTTGTTTATTCCAAGAAATGGAAAATCAGAAAAAAAAAAAACTAACCAAAGAAGAATATTATGGGGAAGAACTGAAATGGAACAGTAGAAAAATATTCAAATTGCAATTATAAAAAAACCTAATTTTCCAAAGTACCTCGTATAGGTTTGGATGGTTGTAGCTTTTCTTTTTATCTTCATCCCTTTAGGGAACTCCTCTTCTCTTTATATGCAACACAAATAGCTCTTCTGAAAAAAAAAAAAAGAAAAAAGGAAAAACATGACTTAGGATTCTACATTTTCACTGTGGTTTTGGAACTCGCATTGTAATGCATCATATCCCAGTTTTTTATTCTGATACTGTATGGTATGTAATGAGATATAACTATATCACTTAATGCAGCGATTAAAATGTGAAAAAGGATGTGCCTGTTTTTTATCTCCCCCTCCTATCCTTTTAGCAAGTAAGTAGCCACTTTTATGTTGCAGCAGCTGGTTAAAATTTAATAGCTTCCATCCAAAGTCATCACAGTTCACAATACTTGCCTGTTTCTACCCATCTCAAACAAATCTGCCTTTTATAGCCTCATTTGTGGTTGCATTCAGCAGTTTAATAGTAATCAGGAAATGAGTGAGAAGTCTTCCATGACTAAACAGCCTTCCACAGAAAGTGCTGCATTCTTCTCACGTCCTTTAGAGGTAAAGAAAAGAAGAATTGAAAAGTTCAAGTATTATATATCACCAGGAAGCCAGGTATATTCAAAATGCAAATCTGTCCCCAAATGAAAAAGTGAGCTGCCTGCCAGTAGTTGGTAGATTCATTTCCCTCGTTTCCCTCTCAAAATTTGATTGTTTCTATCCAGCATTACTCTCCTGTTTTACTGATGAGCATAATGTCAGACAGCCTTTAGCAGATTAGTGTCAAGTTGGCTCTCTGAATTTCAGATCACTATCACTGCTGCATCCCTAGACTTATTATAAGAATGTTTCTGTGCAAAGGATTAATCTGATGTATGGTGGCACAAAGTGAACTTTGTCAAACATTCCTTACAAAAGACAAGCCCAGCAGAAAGATTGTAGCAGTGCTGTTTTCCCATAGTAAGGAGTAATACACAGAGGTAGTAATTCTGAGATCTGTTATGGCTTTGTAATGGTTTAATATGATTCCAAGTTAATCATAGTATTTCACTTCATAATGGGCATGGGTTTCCTTAATCAGTGAGGCTGAGGGAGCTGGGGGTGTTCAGCCTGGAGAAGAGGAGGCTCAGGGGAGACCTTCTCACCCTCTGCAACTCCCTGACAGGAGGTTGGAGTCAGGTGGGGGTTGGTCTCTTCTCCCAGGCAACCAGCAGCAGGACAAGAGGGCACAGACTCAAGCTCTGCCAGGGGAGGGTTAGGTTGGAGATTAGGAAGAGATTTTTTTCAGGCATTGGAATGTGCTGCCCAGGGAGGTGGTGGATTCACCATCCCTGGAGGTTTTCAAGCTGAGACTGGATGTGGCACTTAGTGCCATGGTCTAGTGACCACGGTAGGGTTGGACTTGATCTTTGAGGTCTTTTCCAACATGGCTGATTCTATGATTCTGTGATTCTGTGATTCTATTAATACATTTCTTCTTGATTTCTGAAATCTCTGTGTCTCTGCAGTGAGTACCTCGTTACCAGAGTGCCTGGCTACATGTGCATGGCCATTAGACATGCAAACATCCTCCCCAACAGACAAATCCTGATTAATTTTCTGCTTGCAGCTGAAGCACCTAACATGCCTTATTCCCTGAGAACTCAATCTTTTGTCTTCGTTAATAGGCATCTAATATCATGACACTGTTTCCAGGTACAATCCCTCCACTCATTAAGTCAGTTGTGCAAAGTGAGGAAGGGCTGGCAACCAACGAAGGGCTAAAGATGCTGGTGACCATTTCCTGTATCTTGGTTGGGGTCTTGCTGCTTTTTGTGATGCTGCTGGTCGTGCGGAGGAGGAGGAGGGAGCAGAGACTGAAGAGGCTGCGAGGTAAGATGACAGCTGGGACACTTATCTCTACTTACGTATAATGCCTGAACGTGAAAGTGCAAGTGGGGCTGCACGTGACCAAACTGTTGAATCCCCAGTTGGTATCATCTTCCTGCAGCACATAACAGTGTCGACCAAGTGTGTGTGTTTTCTGCAGAAATTCCTTCTTTTTCATGTTGTAATAAGTTCTAAAAAAAAATTGAAAAATTAATGTTATTATTTTGCATGGGGGAAAGGAAAATAATTCTCATGTATTGGTGTTTGTTTATTTCCCTTTTCTTGGTTGTTGTTTATTTTCCCTTGGGAATAGTCTCAATAACCTAAAACTGTATTTTCTAGAAGGGTAAAATCAGATGTTCTGCAGTTTGAGGGGATTTCAGTTTTGCAGTAGATGCAAACCATGACTCCTGAATTATGAAACAAAAGTAGCCGCATGTTAGCAGGCTAGAAAACATAACCAGATATTCTGATTTGTTACCACAGCATTTTTCCCATGGTATGTTATAACAGAATTATTACAACACTTCATTGTTCACTGATCTTTCATTGTTCTCATCTGTACTTTTCTCTAATCCTCATTCAAATTCAGATGTTTGCTATGTGAATAAGTTTTGGATCTCTGAATTCATTCAGCTTTATCAATCTTCTAGTAAATCCTCCCTCTTCCTGAGCCCCAGGCAGGTTTTTGACCCTGCCACGTCTGCACTTGGCTGTGTAGCTTTTGCACTAGCACATTATGGCAGATCTTACACTTGAAGGCATCTGCAGAGAAGGGCAACAAAGCTGGTGAAAGGTCTGGAACACAAATCCTATGAGGAGAGGCTGAGGGAACTGGGTTTATTTAGCCTGGAGAAGAGGAGGCTCACTCTCTACAACGACCTGAAAGGAAGGGCATGAGGATCAGTCTCTTCTCCCAGGCAGCTAGTGACGGGATGAGAGGACATAGTCTCAAGCTGTGCCAATAGAAGTTTAGGTTAGACATTAGGAAGAATTTCTACACAGAAAGGGTGATTAGATACTAGAATGGGCTGCTCAGGGAGGTGGTGGAGTCACCATCCCTGGAAGTGTTTAAGGAGAGACTGGACATGACTCTTAGTGCTCTGGTCTACTTGACATGGTGGTGTTAGGTCATGGTGGTGTTGATCTCAGAGGTCTTTTCTCACCTGATTGATTCTCTGAAGGTATTTGAGAAAAAGCCTTTCAAATCCCAAACTGACTGTAGAGTAAAGCAATTTGTCATCTGCAAAAATATGATTTCCAAGAACCACCTAATTTTTTACCTATTTGTATTTTAACCAAAACATGATCATGATGTCTCTTAAAACCAGGGCCAGCCCTATGTATTCCTTCTAACCTGAGTATCTACTTGTCTCTGGTTTGGGTCTTATTTTGTCTTTTGTAACAATATTTTGAATGTTTTTGGAAAAAGAAAAAGAAGATATAGGGCTCTTAGGCATGGGTAAATTCATAGATTAAAGAGGACAACTAGCCTTATGGTGCACACACAGCTCTGAAAATCAGAGCATCTGGGTGTTATAGCTTGCATAATAACTTTTTAGTTCAAAACCTTATAAGTCATTTACCTCTGTGCAGTTTTTTTTGTTCATCAAAAACAATGGTAAAGAAAAAAGAAGGTGTTATCTTATCTTCTCAGAAATACTCTGGGATTCCATCCAGTAATGAGCAGGACATTTCGAGCCCCTTGGCTCCAGGAAATGATGGCTGTGCACATTACTTTCTCATGCTTAATTTACAAGTATTCGTAGATTCTTGAGTTACAGTCCCTTAAGAAAGGCTGATGATTACTGGCCAGTTTAGCTTTTGCATAAGACTTTTCTGAACTATTTCCTCTCAGAATATAGGAATTTAGAGAAATATCTGAGCTTCACTGAAACATTGGCAGTGAAAAAGAGTTCATCAGTAGTTTTGAGAAAAATAATCAGCAATTAACTGCAATTTCTGTAGAAGTTGTGTCTCACTTATCCGAATTTGTCAAGCTACAGCTCTACATCCCATCTGCTCCTGTTTTACTTCTGTACAGGGACTGAAGTTCTCTTTTGTATCATATTTTCAGTCTCTGAGGGTATTCCTTTCACATGGTGGTAGCCAAGGAATTTCTTAATGTTTTCATTGGTAAATGAAACCGATGAATATCCTTTAATTTTCCTCTGTAGTTTTACCATCATTTATTAATTTAAAAGCTTTTATCTGGTCCCTTTGCAATCTTTAGGTAGCTCTGCTCATCTGTGTATGCTAGAAACTATTCCAGTCACACACATATCAGCATCAGAGAGAAGGGTAAAAGCCTTTCTTCTTTCCCTTTATGATCTTCTCTCTGTATCTGCAAGGATCACCTACTTGGGTACAACTTTACTGTAAGAGTTTGCCTTTAACATCTTATTCATTGAGATCATCTGCCAACTCTCTGATTGCAGGGCAACAGGATAATATTCCTCCCTGTACAGCTATGGCTTGTGCTCTTCATATATGACCTTATGATCCAGATTGTTATCTTAGTGATCTAGTATTTCCCTTACATTTTAGCTACAAAATTCTTGTGGAATTTTTGAACTTTTATCAGGTGTTATTTCATTTACTCCAGACCACTGATAAATGTCCCACAGTGCATGATGACAAAAAATACTAAGGAATGATTCTCTGCTTAATATTGGGGTTTGATGATGCTGAAATCCATGTAAGATTGCTGCTGTGTTAATTTTTCATCATTTTATTAAAGTAATTTGAGATACCAAAACTTTGTTCTAGAAAAATATAAATGCAATATTTTAGTGTTATTCAAGCATATCACAGTGAGAGTTTTTTCCAATATCATCGATTCTCAGTGAATTTTAATCTCATTTAAAAGACATCCACTTTGTTTGCCACGGCTGCTTGACCACAAGTCTCTATTGATTGGCCTCAATGATTCCTTTAATTCATTTCATTAAGCTTCCTTTCATTTCTTTTCATCATTTTGCTCATTGCCAAGAGCAGATTGAGAGGACTTCAGCAATTCAGATTTGTGTTTGTTCATTCTTTTTGAAGACTGATTCCATGTTAGCCATTTTCTGCCCATCTAGAAGTTAATTCAGGTTCTAAAAGTCTTCCTGACAATTTATTGGGGCTGTTCAACCTAGAGGAAAGAAGACTTTGTGGAGACCTCAGAGCAACTTTTTGATATCTGAAGGGCCTACAAGGAGCCAGAGAGGGACTCTGTGTTAGGAACTGCAGTGAGAGGACAAGGGGTAATGGGTTCAAACAGAAGGAGAGGAAGTTCAGGTTAGATATTACAAAAAAGTTTTTTACTGTAAGGGTGGTGAGACACTGGCACAGGTTGCCCAGGGATGTGGTGGCTGTCCCAACCCTGGTGGTGCTCAAGGCCAGGCTGGATGAGCCTTGAGCAACCTGATCTAGTGAGGAGGTGTCCCTGCCCAGGGCAGGGGGTTGGGACTAAATGATCTTTAAGGTCCCTTCCAACCCAAACCATTCTATGATATTCAGTTACTTCTAGGCTTCTGGATTTTCTTTGACAGATACATAAGAACTCTTGTCTTCTTAGCAATTTTGTTCTGGTCCAGACCCACACTAGCCTGTATGCCCAGTACAGCCATCATTAACTACAGTAATTAGAATCATAGAATCACAGAATTTAAGGGTTGGAATGGACCTTACAGATCATCCAGTCCCAACCCCTGCCCTGGGCAGGGACACCTCCCACCAGAGCAGGTTGCTCAAGGCTCATCCAACCTGGCCTTGAACACCACCAGGGTTGGGGCAGCCACAGCCTCCCTGGGCAACCTGTGCCAGTGTCTCACCACCCTTAGAGTACGAAGCTTTTTTCTAATATCTACCGTAAACTTCCCCTAATTCTGCTTTGATTGCAAAAAGCCTCTTGAATAATTAGTATATTTAAACCCAGCTTATGGAGGTTTTATTTTTCTTACTCCTTGTTCAGTTTTTAACATATAACATGATCTTATGTGGCTCCTCATATTATTTTTGATTGAAGGTGCCCAATCTCCTGTGCTTCTCTTTGGCCAAGAATTGCATATATGTTAATTAGCACTTGAATATGTGCCACATACATTTAATGGTGAGAATTGTTTTCCTGATGCAGCATGGAACACATCTATATGCTGTGCAGAACTAGGGAATATGTTAGGGAGATTGTTTGACATTTAATCTTGATAAACAAGTTTAAAAAGCAAACTGAAATCTATTGTGCCAGGCAACCTTCAACTTTGTCCCTTCAGCTTTTCTTGAGTTGTGAATTACTTGCACAACTATCCATAGGCTTCACTTATGGGAGCAGCAACTGCTTCACAAAAGCTGCTGCCTGAATGAGAGCAATATTTGCATATTAAATCACCCTGATTGTGTGTGCCAGAGGGAGAACTTGTGCATGGTGTCTTCATCATCCTAGTGCTGCTAGAATAACAAGAAGCATCATAAAGTTTGCTAAAAAAAACATGACTTGGAACAAGTGTGATTATTATTTTGGGGCTTTTTTTTTTTAAAAATATTCTTCAAACGAACTATGTCCCTTCCTGGGTTTTTACAAGTCCCTTTCAAAACTGTCTCATTTGGGAGCAGCACTGTTGGTAGTTTGGTTCATGGCTGATGACAAAGATAGGTGAAGGTTAAAAATTAAGGAGTGGAGCAAACAGGCTTAGAGGAAGTACAGAATTCCTGTTTCTCCAGTAGTAGGTGAGGAATAAAGCTTGAAAGACTCAAGCTGGCACTGTGCCAGAGAAACAGAATGCAGAAAGTGGATGGAAGGGATTTTGTTGAGTTTTTTAATGGATAAAAGGAGTCCTTTGTCCATTACTTCTAAAGCCAAATACAACTCAAGCTTGAGAGATGTGTTAAGATGTGCTTTGTTTCTGCCTTCACCCTCTGTATTTTAAAGGCAGGATACGTAATAGGATCACAAGTAAGGAAACTGTTGTAGGTGTAAGAGACCAAAGAGGTGACTGAGGAATAAAAAAGGTGAGATGGGGAAAACAAAGGCAAATTCAGTAAATGCCTTGGCAGGTGCTGGTAGATTTACAAGAAGCAAATAAAAAGAAATGTAAAGTTTCACAATAGGAAAGTTGTCTGAAGACTTAGAACTTGGAATTGTTTTCTCCTCAGATTAGCTTCACTTGGTTGCACAAAAGGCTGCTTTGTTGCTGTGTGATATACTTTAGGACTCTGGAGTCAGCATTTTTAAGTGAGTTTGTTTAGCAGCAGATTGCAGGAAAACAAAGCAGAGCTGTTTATTTTTTGCTGAATGATACTACAGAAATCAGTATATTATGTTGATAAAGTTTTGCAGAAAGCAACCTGAAAAACCAAATTCCAGCTGTGTCTTTTGAACTGATAAGTATCAGAATAATTATATCCCCAAAGGATTTTCTGCTAATAATAGCAGCAATGACAACAACAGGAGGAATATTTTTCCTTCAGCAGAGCCTCATTTTGCAAAACTGGTTCATGTGGGAATAAGCCACCTCCTGTTTTGTGTGTACACTGTCCCCTGAAGACCCAGTAGTAGTTTTGATTTATTGCTAGTGGAAAAAAACATTCATATTTGAGAGCAGCCAAACAAGTTTGTGCCAGGGAAGGTTCAGGTTGGACATCATGAAGAATTTCTTCTGAAAGGGTGGTCAGGCATTGGAGGGGGCTGCCCAGGGAGGTGGTGGAGTCACCAACCCTGGAGGTGTCCAAGAAACAACTCGACACGACACTTAGTGCTCTGCTGTAGTTGACAAGGTGGAGATAGTTCACAGGTTGGACTTGATGACCTTGGAGGTATTTTCCAACCTAAATGATTCCATGATTCTAAATTGACTCCTTGGAGAACTCCCTTGGTCAGATCTCCAAGCACTTAGGTTTGCTTTGCAAATGACAGGTTGGCAACTGCTCATCCAGCCTGGCTTTGGCTCCTGCCCACAGATGGATATCAACATTTCTGTCTTCTTGCCTTTTCTTCTTTCCTCAATTGTTCATTTGCAAACCATGGCATGAAGGAACCGAGATTCCCATTATATGTTAAACTGTTCCTACTTCTTACATATTTGTGTAGGTTTTTTTCTAGTTAAATCATTTCTAGCTTGTACTTCCCTTATCATCGAACTAAACAGGGCTGTTTGGGGAAGAACAATGGGAAGAAATGCAATTTCAGCAAAAATAGAGACTTTTAGATGTTATTTTATTCTTGCCACTAATCTGAGAAACAGCAGTGATCTTACACATGGCTGATTCAAATCACTTACTTCCTAATAATGCATCTATCAAATAGATTTTCATTTGTGATGACATTTCTTCTATTTTCTTCTAGATGCAAAGAGTTTGGCTGAAATGCTTATGAGGTAAGAATAGATTTAATTTTCTTTAAATTGAAAAATGTCTGACAGCTATAGCATCATATATAAAAAATGTTTATAGGGACAAATGGAGAAGTAAGCTTTCTCTTCCTAAACCCTTTTTCAAAACACACCATTTGACTGTTCAGAACTAGGACACATTGATGGTTAGAAATGGGAGAAAGAAGACACTTTGTGGACAGTATCTGTAAGGGAACACAATAGTAAGAAAAAGATGACTTGTGTTAGTAGATTAAATTATAGAAGCTGTGCTGGAGTTGCTTAGCCTGGAGAAGAGGAGGCTCAGGGGAGACCTTCTCACCCTCTGCAACTCCCTGACAGGAGGTTGGAGTCAGGTGAGGGTTGGTCTCTTCTCCCAGGCAACCAGCAGCAGGACAAGAGGGCACAGACTCAAGCTCTGCCAGGGGAGGGTTAGGTTGGCTATTAGGAAGAGATTTTTTACAGAGAGAGTGCTCAGGCATTGGAATGTGCTGCCCAGGGAGGTGGTGGATTCACCATCCCTGGAGGTTTTCAAGGTGAGACTGGATGTGGCACTTAGTGCCATGGTCAAGTAACCATGGTAGGGTTGGACTTGATGATCTTTGAGGTCTCTTCCAACCTGATTGATTCTATGATTCTATGTAGATCCATTTGGACATTTTTCCTATGGAGAAATACATTTTCATAATATGTACCAAAGTAATTGCTCTTCAGAGAGCCTCTGATTGAAGGCAGTACGTGTCTGGATGCAAAGATCTCTAAACTTTACAATTGTATTTATGCAATTCTCTGCTGCTAGTTGCTCATATCCCAAGGTATAGAAGAGCAGGTAAATCAATTTATTATTTTTGAGTTCTGTTCCATCAGCTCAGCATTCAGAAATCTAATTCAGTTGTTGAATCGCAGCAGAATGACTATTGTGGTACCACAATTCTTTCAAAGATGGAAATTTCATAACTTCAATATTTATTGTTTTGTCTTGGGAAAATACTGAACTTTAGAACTGCTGCATAGATTTGAAAATGGGATCATCCAAGGGACTGTGTTTAAGTTCAAATGTGCTTTGCCTTGCTAGAAAATATTTTTGTATTTAAGCAACAAATTTGAGAATGTCACGGATATTTTACCAAGTGAACCATACTCTTAACTTCCTCACTCGTAATAAACTTCACATCCTATTGCAAGAATATCCTTACCAAAGACCCGGTGACAGATTGGTTTAGTGTAAATTCAGCTCTATGCCATCAGTCTGCAAACACATCTGAATAAGCTCACTGATGTTAACAGGACTAGTCATGCAGGTCAGGTCATACCCTCCCTATCTGCCTGTTAGACACCCCTGCTAGCAGCAGACTGTGGGTTTCAGCAGCTTCAGGAAGATATGCTCTGGTGTTTTTTGGTGTCACAGAAAGCAGCACAGATTAGCATATGCAGCAAGTCTGTTCCCTTAAGAAACCCAGCACAGACTGGCTGGAACTCCTTGGATGAAGACATTCAGTCCCAGTGACAACCACTCATAACACTTCTGCAAAACTGCTAGACCTCTGCCTTAGCCCTGATTGTCTTCACAAGTCTTGTGGCTGCCTCTGCAAGGCCATTTCAGAGTCTCACTCTGACACTTAGGAAACTTCATCAGACACTTACAAAACTTCAAGATGCCAACAGAAGTGCCCAGGATTGACTCACTTTTTCCTTTGCTGATGGTGACCTTCAAATTAAAGAACTTTTGTCCTCCCTACCTGATGTACTCGGAGAGCAGCCAAGTCTCTTCTCAGACTTTAGTTCAGAGCTGCTTTTCTAGGTAACTCATCTGCCACCACTTTGATTTGTTTTTCCTTTCACCAGCATGGAAATATGTTCCTCAAGCCAATTTCTCTCATCTTATTTACTAACAAATAATCTTGTTTTTATTAAATAGCCTTATTTAATATTTCCCTTCTAAAACTGTAAACAAATGACTATCAAAACAGAACTTCAGAGGAAGTAGAGGATATAGTCCTACATTTGCAGGCTCATCATAACTTGGAACTCTCATTTGTGAAATACCTTCAACCAAAACCTGAGTTACCCACCAGCACTAGGTGTTCCTGAAGATGCAGTATATTGATAATCAGAGGATTATGAGCCCTCTCCAAAGCAACAGTCACATATCATAAAGCCCCTGATATTTTATATCTATTAGATTTCACCAAAATCTGCTAAAAAAAATATCAGGAAAGGGGTATTTGGGGAGAGGGCAGAAAAGATGATTCCCTGCCTGGCAGGAAGGTGTGAGGGATGTTGAGAGCTCTGTGTATCTTTCCCTTTGAGGAGATTTTTATGAGCGTGTGTAAAGAGGATTAAGGATGGAGCTTTAGTCTTTGCTTTGAAAGTCGTTGGCTTTGGCTGTGTTAAGTCAAATGTCTGTGGAGCAGGATAAGCCCCAGAAGTCAGCAGTTTAACTGGAGCTGCACAGCTTGTTGTTGATACCTTAAACTCACAAATAAAAATCCTTGCCGGACAATCACAGTTTTTTCATATTTCTTTTGAGTGAAATCATCGGTCCAGCCCTGCTCTTTGTAACAGTTCACTGTGAATCAGTTCAGTAATTCACTGAGTTTTTTAGATTTTGAACACGAGGTGGAGAATCTTTTCTCCCCAAATATTCTCCTGTCAGGATGATTGCTTACAAGATTTAGTTTTCCATATGTTTTTACAGCAACCAGCCTGGGCAATCTGAGAGGTTGGGCTGACTCTCTGCCAAGGACCCAGAACAACTTTGAGTCTACAGAGCTCCGTATTTAATCCCTTTACATAACTAGCTCAACATATTTAACCTTCTTCTGTGTACACAGATTCTTTCAATCACCCAAATAAATATTTTTGTAATAAAGATCCATAAAGACAATCTAAAAGGGGATATTCTGGTTACTATGCAGGCTTTCAAAATGCCTTGTACAACATATTTCCTCTGGAAAAGGCCTTTTTATCCACAGACTGTACATAAAAGCTGTACTTAGTCAGACCCAAAGACCCACGTGCCCAAGCAGCTGTTTCAAAAAGTGGCCAAAAGTAGACTCCTTAGTAGAGTAAAAGACTTCAGCAAATGCTGAGAGAGCTGGGATTGCTCAGCATGGAGAAGGATTCAGGGAAACCTCATTGAGTCCTTCCAGTATCTTAAAGGGGTTTATAAAAAAGAGGGAAAGGGACTTTTTATGTGAGCAGACAGTGACAGAACAAGGAGCGATGGTTTTAAACTGAAAGGTCTAGATTAGATAATAGAAAGAAGTTCTTTAGTCAGAGGGTGGTGAGGCACTGGCGCAGGTTGCCCAGAGAAGTCGTGGATTCCCCCATCCCTGGGAGTGTTCCAGGCCAGGTGAGATGGGGCTTGGAGTAACCTGGGCTAGTGGGAGATGTCCCTGCCCAGGGCAGGGGTTGGAACTGGTTGATATTTAAGATCCTTTCCAACCCAAACATGCCTGTGATTCTATAATTCTATGACTTGTCCCCCAGACAGGCTCCCAGTCCCTAACAATTTGAAGCTCAGAGATTCTTTGAACCAGAGGGAATTAATTATATTATACACAGATCCTGACAAGGTGTGACAGGTAAAGAATAGCTTATGTTTGGGAACTTTATATCTGTAAACATAGAAAAATTAAGCGAGGTACACATTCTCCCTTAAAGGAATTAATCATTGGACTTCTCATCCACCAGACTGACACAATACTTTAATGCCTGAATTTTCTTAGGTTAGAAAACACTTGGGCACCAACCTTTTAAATTGAAACCCTAAACCTCTTTTGCCTTGTTTCCAAGTTCTAGAGGCACATTATTGCTGTTGGCACTTTAGGTTTGTATAATTTGAAAGTTGAGCTATTATGGCTTGCAGAAAAGAATTCAAATTCCTAGAGCCAGAGTGAAACAGCATCCTAATCAGCAACAACCTTCTTGCTACTGCTAGTTGCCTGCTCTGTGTTTGGACACCCCATGTGACTCTACTGCTGCATGCAGGGGAATTAATTAGACCTGTAAGGAGGAGGAGAGAGATCCCACAAACCAAGACATAACTACTGAGCATAGTGGGGATATTGCTGAATATAGAAAGGCCTGGGTTGTAATTCTAGTTTGAAAGACTTTCCACATATTTTACATCAAGTTATTCCTGGAGCCAAGAATGGGATTGGGAATTCTCTCTTGGCAGGTGAGCAATATAACTGTCCTCCTGCTCCCTGTGGTCCAAACAAGATTTTCTGTGTGGTTGAGTACTTTCCAGCAATAGAAATACGGAGCATTCATCCTGCAGAAGAGGCTCTAGCTCTCACTGGAATTCAGGGGCATTCCCTGAGCAAGATGTCTGATTTGATCCTTTGTCTCCTGCATCACCAGTGAGGGAGAAGGGGTGCAGTGATACATTTATTTGACTCAGCTTTGCATTGCAGATTCTGTATGTATCAGCCTGCATGTATTCCATAACTATTGAGTTATTGAAATTGGACCTCTGAAATTCAGTTTCCTGTTTGATCACAGGTTTGCTCTATGCTGTTGGACTAGCCCAAAGCAGCCCAACTTTTCAAGAGCATGTAGTGAAGCACGTTTGGCATGTGGATAATATATTAGCCTCTGATTCTCTTAACATTTCAGCTACTTGAGAGGAAACCAATAGAAAAGTGGCATCTCATCCATGCAGTGACTTTGCAGAGGCTTCAGGAACTCAGTGTGGAATTTATCTGCATTTGAGGATACTAAATGTCATTGAAAATTTATGTTCTTAATAAGACACTGTGACTACTATTCTCCACTGATACAGAGAAAAGCCTGGAAGGCCTTGGGTAGCTGTCCTGATAGTTTGCTTCCATGGTGATTAAACGAGGCATCAGTTGTAGGCTGTTGGAATGCATTTCAGCTCTCCATCTGTAAATGATGGCAACAGCACCACCTAAGCCCCCAGGTAAAGACAGAGACACTAAGGTTTGAGATGCAGAGATAGTGTTTATGCTGGGGACCATGAGAGCAGGGCAAGCCAGAAGGTGAGAATCAGCCAGAGAGCTGGACCTGTGTGCCTTGTGGATCTCCCTCTTAGATTCACAGCAGAATCACTGACCACAGGACAAGAGAATTCATCCTAAAAAGACCTGTAGGAGAACCTCCAAACACGTGATAATCAGGTCTTGCTCACATGGAGACACAGAAGGGAGTGAACACAAATTTCCTAGAAATGTGAGCACATCAAGGGAGGAAGTGAGCTTATCATCAAGCAGCTCAGCAGCTCTCTGCTGATTCCATTAACAACAATCATTCATTGCCAAAGGAGAATTAAACTGAGGGACCTCCACTAGATCACTAGAAAATGAGCCTCCACTTGGATTTTAAAGCTCTTTGAAGTCTGAGCACTTGGATTACACTACTGACTGATTTGTCTTCACTTTCCTCAGCCTCCCTACGTAAAGTATTTGGAAATATTTCATTTCATCCAAAGAGTAATTACATCTAAAAAAGGCAAAAAAGGTTCCTGGGTTTTTAGTGCAGTCTGAAGGTTTCTTGGTGCAAGCTCTGTGCTAGAAATGACTGCACCACTCAGTTTTGCTATCCATTTTCATTTGCCTTCGGTAGGCAGCTCATTTAAGGAACCATTTTCTGGTACACAAGCTTCAAAATGAAATTGTTTCAATTTGCACAATGAGAGAATAATTGGTTCATGTTCTTTTTTAGAATGTTGCATCAATCAATTCGATATAATCCATATGTAAACAAGATTCACAGTTTTAGTCTCGGAACATCGATGGGACTAAACCCTTTATTTGTTTTATGCATTCTAATAATAGTATTCCTATTTATTAATTTGCTGTTTCATTTATCAGTTCAAGTGATATTTGCAATTTACCTAATGAAAAATAATGAAAAGATTAAAAAAAGGTAGAAATTGCTCAAGACATCATTTTCCTACCAACCTGCTTGATCAGCTGTGTGTGGCTTTACTCAGATTCAGGAGGAATGAAAGCAAAGGTCCATCTCTCAAAGTGCTTTTTACTAATTTCATTATATGACAACACTTGAAGAAAACAGCATGAAATTTTCAGGAGATTCCTACTGATAAAGCATAGACCAAATCCCTCCACACTCTATGTTCATCTAACAGCTTGTCATGTGCAATAAATGAACGCGGTGCACTTGTTCTGAAGAGGGGAAAATAAGATGTATGAGTGGTTTTGATGATTATGGTTGCATTATTTTGCTTTGAGCTGGGCAGATTGAAAATGAGGAAGTTTGCAAATATGTTTTCTTTTATTGTTGACGTCTTCACTTCTCTTTTGGTTTCAGCAAGAACACCAGGACGTCAGATACACTTAATAAGCAGCAGCAAACGCTGAGGATGCACATAGATATTCCCAGAGCACAGCTTCTCATTGAAGAGAGGGACACCATGGAGACTATTGGTAAACTTGGACTTGTTTTCCCTGGTTAATGTTACAGCCACTTTTAGGTGGAATTCCTTTACTCCACAACTTTTCCCCACTGCACTCCTCAAGAAAAAAAGTTACAAAATAATTTCACATATTTGAAAACTGAACTAGTTGGGGTTTTTTTCACTCCTTTGAATCATTTCCCACTTTAAGTAATCTCAATACAGTATTTAAAATAATGCAGGACATGAGGGAAATGAAGCTGTTGGAAAGAGCCTCTTGAAGCAAATGTAATTGAAGACTGGCAGGTTTATGATTTCATTTTGGTTTCTCTTTTGGCTCTGACTGGAAGTTGGATCCCTGGCATCACTTATAAAGAAAATGAATTCTGAAATGACAATCTCAGTATTTAAAGGCTTGCTACAGCCAACTTCTAAAACTTACATGCTGCATATTGTATCCACCTGTTCACAGCAAATGAAATGTCAACATTTTGATCAGTTTTTGAGTTTTTGTATCTATGCAAAAATCAAATAGAAACTGTTTGATACAACAGAAAATGAGATTTCTCATGTGCCTAGCACATAGCTCAACTGTCACAAAAAATAGAATTGTTTGGTGGTGTTTGGGCTTTTTTTCCCGCAAGTAATTTAAACACAAGATGTCTGGAAATCCAACAAAATAGAAATACAACCTTATTTTGTGCCTGTATGGGTACACACTGAGGCAAGACACTCCTGACTGAACTTGTTAGACTACTGACTTTTTGGATAAAAATCTGTGTAGAAAAAGCTTTTGATGGCTGAGAATGTAACAACACCCCAAGGATGATGTGGCCAGAGAGGAAAGTCAGCAAGCTGAAAGCAACGTCTCTGCATCTCCTGCCCATTCCAGTTCCAGACCTGAAAAGGAGACCTATGCTCCACCTGAAATACAGACATTTTTTAGCCTTGATCTTTAGATTTGATCTTCCCAAAGTTTGCCCTTTGTGTCAGGCTTCATCCTGAAGGCAGCTTTAACTTTTGAGCTACAGCTGCTGAGCAATGGGGGGTTATAGTGGAAATACCATTAGTGCTTGGACTGTAGCAGTGGGATCAGGGCCTTGGTAAGAGCCAGATTTCCACACAGCTCTCAGAATAAGCAGGGATTTTGGCAGCCTTTGACAGAGTTTACTGCCAAGAGGATTTATTCCCAACCTGAATAAGAGCTCATCTTTTGCCAGAGTAATTTGATTTCATAATATTCATTCTATTTATGGCCTTCTTTGGGTAAAAAATGTTAGTTATGTTATTGTGCAGAACTGTTGGCCTTAATGGTGTCTTGTCAAGTTAAAAAAGAAAACAAAACAAAAACCAGGAATGCTTAGAAGAAGTGGATCAACCTCTGCTGACTAGTAAATGCCTAGAAGTCCTACTGCTGCCAGTCCCCTTGGAATACATAACAGATATATACAATATTGCTGAATATATATATTCTAGAGGGTAAGTCATATGAGGAGCAGCTGAAGGAGATGGTTCAGCCTGGAGAAAAGGAGACCTTATGGCTCTCTACCACCACCTGAAAGGAGATTGTAGTAAGGTGAGGATCAGTGTCTTCTACCAGGCAACTAGTGATAGAACAAGATGAAATGGCCTCAAACTGCACCAGGGGAGGTTCAGAATGGACTTCAGGAAGAATTTCTTCATGGAAAGGCATGTTAATCATTGGAATGGGCTGTCCAGGGAGGTGGTGGAGTCATCATCCCTGGAGGTGTTCAAGAAAAAACTGAATGTGGCACTTAGTGCTCTGGTCTAGTTGACAAGGTGGTGATGAGTCCCAGGCTGGACTTGATGATCTTAGGTCTTTTCCAACCCAAATGATTCTGTGGTAACGTAGTGCAGCAGGAACTTCGGGTGTCTCTTATTCTGTTGTGAATGGATACAAAGACTGTAAAGAATTCAATAGAAAGTCTGATAACACATAAACAGTTGTTCTGCAAGCACAAAAGCAGTGGGTGATTTATTGCTCTTAAACTGGCCATGATCAAGTGGATCAGATTTGGCTTTGGAGTGAAAAACCTACAATACAGAGAGCAGAACAGAAAAAAAAGTAAAAAAGGAAGCAAGTGCTATATAGCACTGGCTTTCTGCAGTGATCTAGGTCTGTGTTGAAACTTGGTGAACATATATATGCTGCCCCATAGGGAAGCAACAGCAGCAGAACCATACAGCAGTAAAGGTCAGTGCTCAGCTTTTTCTTCCTTCCCAAGGTCAGGCTTCACCTCACACTTTTCTTTGCAACTGCAGGATAAACAGTCCTGGTTCATGGCCATCCCTTCTGCAATTGTCTCTGAGGACAAACTGACTGGTACAGGGTTAGGTAGCCACATTACATAATGACCTCCTTTTGGGAAGACATGGGTGATTTCATTGAGGACATGACTAATCATGCCAATAAAAAGAAAGAAATTGAATATGTCGTTGAAAAGCTCAGCTGAGCTCTCTGAGAATGAAGGGGAAGAGGGCAGTGCTCAAAAGATGGGAAAGGAGCAACTAGAGCCAAAAATAATTACACTCAAATCAGGTTTTTGGGATGATGTTTAATAGTCTGCCTCAGTTGCACATCTCTAAGGTGAAATCACAGGGAGAATTACACTTATTCTTTAGTTTTGTATGAACTTTAAGTTTAAGCCCAGGGGCTCCCCAAGCTGTGCTAAATACTTCAAAGCCATTCTCAGCCCTGCAGAGAAGAGGGAGCTGCCACTGTCCATGGTGGCACTCAGCTGAAAAATCCAGGGGACTTGCTGTAAAACTCCTATGAAGGCAAACCCAAAAGTCATTACTCATTATTTGATTTTTTTTTTTTTTTTCCTTACAGATGACAGATCAACAGTTCTGCTCACTGATGCTGACTTTGGAGAGACATCTAAGCAGAAGTCCCTGACTGTCACCCACACAGTACATTACCAGTCAGTGTCACAAGCCACAGGACCACTGGTGGATGTGTCTGATGCCCGGCCAGGAACAAGTAAGTATATGAGATAATAGGTTTTCTGGAGAGGAGAAACCTATAAGGAAATTAATACTGTGCTCCTGCCTTTGCATCCTCATCCTTCTGTCTGAAAGTTGAGAGAAATCTATTTAGGTCAGCACAGAACATCTCTTAAACAATTGCACTTAGTGATTCAATATGGTACGAATTGCATATGCATCTGAAATGGAGGTGTAATTTGAAATAATTCATACCTGGCTTTTATTAAACCAAATGCATGCTGGATTTTAATTTCCTGAATTTATTGGGTAAATTAGCTTAATGGCTTTGAGTGTCTAATATACTTTTTTTCCCCTCAGTGATCAATCTTTATTCTATTTCAAAATACATCTTCCCTCCCTATCTCTCCATCAGGCAAGAAATACATTTCTGATTATTGCTTTTTTTCTGAAAAAGTTGAATCTCTGGTTTTAGTTATTATGGTAAATTACTTTTCCCAGATATATTCAGGCTGAGTTATTCTTATAGTGATTAAAATCCTATAATAAATTAATACACTGATGCAATCCATTCTTCTTATTTCTCTCATGAATGTGTTCCATATCTATGTAAATGGGAAAAAATACTAGATCAAAGGAATACTTATGAGTTAGGAATATTACCAAAGTGCAGTTCACTGCACCGTGCAATTTCTGAAAACTCTTGGATTGTTTCTAGCCTATGAGCATTCCAGAATTTGTTTACTTGGTAAGCTTGGTGAACATCAAATCTAAAAGCTCAGTTGCTAGAATGCAGATTATTTGCAAAATCTTCATCTCATCTCCATTTCCACCCCAGTCTTCATACACAATAGCTGTTCTAGTCCTGACCTTGCTGCTTTTCTAACTCTGTTGGCTTTAATATGTGGCTACTCATTTCTTGAGGACTAGATTAGTGCCATCATTTTTCCTCCGTGGAAAGTGATGGCATTTGAATTAGAAGAGTCAATGTACAGCTTTTGTTTTCTTACTGGGACCACTATTGTCTCACTCCTCTAGTTCCTGTACGTGCTGGCAAGCCTGCCAGCAAAAATATCATGATAAAGTTTTTATCATGTTGGTAGATAAGATTGTCTGAGTGAACATTGGACTCTCCATTGTTTTCCAACCCTGTCATTTCTAAAAAGGAAAGAGGCACCACCCCAAAATCACATTTCCGTATCATGTCACAACATTTCATAGCACCAGCACCTTCCATGGGCACTTTTGTGCCTCATTCCACTGTCATCACATAGAGAATTAAACTTGAATTTAGCCCATGTGTAAGAGTATGATCTGTGTCCAGCCCTGCTTTGGAAATAAAAATCCACCATCACTTTTATTATGCAGTGAGAATCTTGTTGCAACAGTGCACAGGGCTAGGCCAAAGACTTCCAGGCAGTGTTCTCTGGGTTGAAGACACTAACACATCTTTGATAGGGGCTAAGCTGTGAGATTTTGTCACGACCCACAGCTTTCTCTGTGAAGAAGAGAGCAGTGCCCAGCCAGGTGGCTCAGAGGTTCTGGATCCTCCCCTCTAAGCACACTCACACTCACTGAGTGACAAATGTTCCCTTGCAGCACTTTTAAGTTGCTCTTTTGTTCTTATTTGTATATTTATAAAAGACATGCTCCATGAACCTTTGCCTTGCTCACCTCAACTCTCTACAGTTATGTTTCAGCATATGACAGAAGGGCTGGCTGAAGCAGGGCACCAGGTGTGTGTGCTGTTCTCCATCACACCAAGAGCTCTGGAACTTGCTGTGTCTGTGCTGCAGAGTTCCTTATGCTGGCACAGCACAGCTGGTGCAGAGCTACTGCTCAGCACATGCTCAGCAGGATGAGGACTCACCTGTGTGCTGGCAGCAGGCTCTCCTGACTCCTTCAGGTTGCTGATGCTATCCTACTGAGTCATGGGATCAGAGAACAGTTGAGGGGCAAAGGGACATCTCAGTGGTGGCTAGTCCAGCCCATCTGCTTAAAGCAAGGTCATCTAGAGCTGGTTGCCCAGGGCCATACCCTTGAATGTCTCCAAGGATGGAGACTCCACCACCTGTCTGAGCAACCTGCGTCGGGGCTCGGTCAACCTCACAGTTGCTCTGTTTCCTGATGTTCAGAGGAAGTTCCTATGTCTCACCTTATGGCCATCTGGTCTTCTCACCAGTCACCACTGACAAGAGCCTGGCTCTGTCCTCTTTGCACTTCCCCTTCAGGTATTTATACAGTCTCTTCTCCAGACCAAGAGTTGTCCCACAGCACTCTTCCTTCTGTCCTTCATGTCTTCCCTCAAAGCAGGCCCAGGGCTCACTTCTGGCCACTCCACAGCCACGTGCCAACTTCCCAGAGCTGGTACAAGCAGTGGGTGCATCATGCCAAGCTCATTTTTGGCTGTTATCCATGTGAGGCAGCTATGTGCTGCACTACCAGGAGGATCAACTATCAATGCCACCAGGTTCTAATTTTTCCACTGCTGTAGGGGGAAGATGTGAAACAGGAGAAGGATCAGACCATAGCTGGTATTTGTAAATAAATACTTTGTTTCTTTGAAGCAGCAGAATATAAACTGTTACTGGGAAAGCTTAGGCAGAAGCAATGCTCAGAGTCATTATCTGGATATTGTTTTTTTCTTTAAATTGCCTCTGCTCAAGTCTCTTACCTCAAAGACTGACAACTTCACCATTCGAATGTCAAAGAACATTTGAATAGATTTGAATTTTTCATTTCTAATACCCTTTCTCTCTATTGTTAGCTCTATCCTTTCAGAAGCTTCAAAGAGAAATCCTTCAGTGCTGATGTAGTCTCCCTCTGTTTGCCACATAATGGTTTTCTCTTGCTTTGTTAGACTCACTTTTACAGGAGAACTATTTATTAATGAAATTAAAGAGGTCAATTTTGGCACATAGTTCACTTTTACTCTCTTGCTCTTTTATTATCTCTAGGATAATAAAAGTTAGAACATTGCTGACCTTAACCAACCAGCAGATGATTTTTAAAGTTTAAGAAATTATATTAATTTACTAATTGTTTTAAAACAGTCAGATCTTTATGAACCTGTCCCTACTGAAATTCTGATGGCACAAGTCCAGCTTATGTTTTATGCCTTGGCTACTTGCTAAAATAAAATGGGGAACCTGTAGGTGATCAATACAGTAATATAGTAATAGCGTGTTCAGAATAGGAAATTATATCACATTTCTGAGCACATGTTTTTACAAAGTGAGAGCAGGTGCCTGGTGCAGAGTGTTTCTGAAGGCACATCTATGATGATCATTTACCTCATGCTTCACTTGAGATGGGGTGTGAAATCCCCAACCAGATCTAGTTGTCTTGTGCTTTTTCACATCTCAGAGTGGTTTGGGTATTGGAGAACTGTTATGCTGGAGTAAAGGGATAATGAATGTGTCAATGAGCAATTGGTAGGGCTCTCAGCCCCCTTTTAAAGCAGCTGAGAATTGCACCCTTTTAAAAATGTATGACTTCATTAGAAAGAGGCTATTTCAAAAAAGTATTAGCAGCTTGGTACTGAGCAGTACTTTCACTGACCTTTTCATTTCCTCCAAAGAATGCTTTGGGCTTTGTTTTTAACCAACAAGATTTCAGTGACCACCCTCTTCTGGAAGGGAGAGGCAGAGGACCAGGAACTGATCTCTTCTCTCTGGTGACCTGTGACAGGACCCAAGGGATTGGCATGAATCTGTGGCAAAGGGAGGTTTAGGTTGGATATTAGGAAAAGGTACCCAGAGGGTGTCTGGGTACTGGAACAGCTCCCCAGGGAAATGGTGCCAAGCCTGACTGAGCTCAAGAGGCATTTGGGCAATGGTGTCAGGCACATGGTGGGATTGTTGGTGTGTCCTGTGCAGGGCCTGGAGTTGGACTTCAATGATCCTGGTGGGTCTCTGTCATGGTTTAACCCCAGCTAGCTATTAGGAAAAGGTACCCAGAGGGTGTCTGGGTACTGGAACAGCTCCCCAGGGAAATGGTGCCAAGCCTGACTGAGCTCAAGAGGCATTTGGGCAATGGTGTCAGGCACATGGTGGGATTGTTGGTGTGTCCTGTGCAGGGCCTGGAGTTGGACTTCAATGATCCTGGTGGGTCTCTGTCATGGTTTAACCCCAGCTAGCAACCAAGAACCACACAACACAGCCTGTGACAGGACCCAAGGGATTGGCATGAATCTGTGGCAAAGGGAGGTTTAGGTTGGATATTAGGAAAAGGTACCCAGAGGGTGTCTGGGTACTGGAACAGCTCCCCAGGGAAATGGTGCCAAGCCTGACTGAGCTCAAGAGGCATTTGGGCAATGGTGTCAGGCACATGGTGGGATTGTTGGTGTGTCCTGTGCAGGGCCTGGAGTTGGACTTCAATGATCCTGGTGGGTCTCTGTCATGGTTTAACCCCAGCTAGCAACCAAGAACCACACAGCTGCTCACACTCCCCCACCAATGAGATGGGGGAGAGAACTGGAAGGGTAAAAGCTAGAATAACTCATGGGTTGAGATAAAGACAGTTTAATAGAGAAAGCAAAAGCTGCACACACAAGCGAAGCAAAATAGGCAGGAGGTGTTCAGCCATCTCTTCCAACTCAGGATATTCTATCATTCTATGATGCTGAAAGGGCTTGTTCCCTAATCAATCCAAGGGGCTAGTGAGTAAAACCCTCTGTTATCCATCACAGATCCTACCACAAGGAGGAGTGCCAAAACCGGACCCACCGCTCGCAACCGCTACGCTAGTCAGTGGACTCTCAACAGACCTCACCCCACCATATCAGCTCACACCCTCACCACAGACTGGAGGCTGCCCACCCCCAGGCCAGCAGGATCAGTGGACAAGGAAAGCGACAGCTACAGCGTCAGCCCCTCACAGGACACAGGTACAGAGCTCTCTGCAGGGAACACAGGACAGCAGCAGCTGCAGGAACCTTCTTGGTCCTGGATGTACATCATTTGCTGCTGAGGTGTCATTATTCTTTCCTTGCTTGGCTGTTTTTTCTGTAGGTTATTTATAAGGGGTGCCAAAAATGCTTGTAGTGCTAATGATAACAAATAATGTGTCCGTGGTTCCTCATGGCACACACACATACTGGAGTTCTTTGAAAGATGTGGTAATTTTTTCTGTAGCTTCCTGAGTCAAAAGGGAAAAAAAGTAGGACAGTTTGCTGCCTGAAATGGCCTTGACTAGAAAGGATCAGTATTAGTAACCAAGAATACCCCTGAGTCATAGGTGGAATGATTTTAAGGTTTGAGGTAAATTGAGGTTAGTGTTTTTGTTTTCCTGTTCATGTAACATGCTCATTAGAGTCCAAGTCTAAATCCATTCATAACACTGAACTCTGCAGCATCTAGCTCTGTTTTTCCTGAGAAGCAGCATAAGGTGGTTTATTCCTCTACATGACAAGTGGGGAGACACTGAATACATATTCTGCCTGCAGTTTCATCTCTTGTCGATGCCTTCACATTACAAATGCAACTCTAACTGAAAATAAAAGCAGCTTTTTATTCTTTCCTACACTGAACAAGTGACAAAAAAGGTGAATAAATGATTAAGCAGAAGAACAATCTCCAAGCAAATCTAAGAAAAGTTAAATAAGAAGAAAGGTAAAATACTGCTCAACAGAATGACTGGCAAAAGTGAATCCAGGCTTACTCTGGCCTCCTCAGAAGGAATTGCCTAATGACTATCCTGATTTTAGGTGGAAAGTGTTATCACTTTTGGAAAAGCTGTGTTAGAACTACAAAGAGAAAATGTGATTGGCCTTTCACCATGAAAACCAGTATGGCTGTTTATATTCTCTCTGTAAGAACAAGCATTTGACTTCCCTTACATTCAGTAATTTATAGGCTGGGGTTCTCCTCTTTTTATCCTCTAAAACTTGTAGAGCCCTATGTTGTCTCCATAGGGTAATGGCAGTCCATAGATGCCTCCAGCCAGCTGACAAACTTCATCCTCCTTTCTCCAGGTAGAATTATCATAAAGCTTTAAGGATTAACTCTAACAGCTACACATATCCAAATATAAATAGCAAATCTTCTCTGAAACCCTTTCTGCAGACATTCCAGATTTCAGGTGCATTTGGATGTGTTCCAACATGTTCTCACCCAAGGATATTTTCCAATGTGTGTGGTAAAGGGCAGAAATGAAATTTCTTGTGTGGTTTAATAGGCAAACTATAGGTAGTTTTGTAAGCAGACTTCATAATCTGTGTTTTCACATGGCTGCTTTCCTACTCTGTGTCTGCTTTTGAGCACACAGCAATTTATGTGAGGGATAGAAAGCTTTAGATCATGCTCGAGATAAGTTTTCTTGTGCCAAAATGCAGCTCTATTATGTCACTTGGTTTCTGGGAAAATAATAGAGTCAGTTTAGTCTAAGTACTTCAGAAGTTCAAAATTTTCAAATAAACATATGTAGCCAAATTATGTGGTCAAGAATCAATTGAGCTAATGTGCACATTTGATCACTTTTCCAATATGGAGTTCTGAAGTCAGTTGATGCAGATGATATTTGGTAGAATTTAGCACTTCTTATCAAAAGGATTCCAGGCTTAAAAAGCAGTAGCTTTAAAGCTTAGAAGTGTATGGCAGCAGTTCAGAGCTGTAACTAAGTTCAGATATTCTAACTAGAGGCCATTAGAAATTTTCTGATGAATGGAGATTTCATGAAGTTTACCCTGGGCTTGGATGAACTTTTGTCAAATCTAAAGGAGGTATTCGAGCAGATTGGTCCAGGAACAGTGACAGGACAAGGGGGAATGGCTTCAAATTGAAAGAGAGTAGGTTTAGATTAGATATTAGGAAGAAATTCTTCCCTGTGAGGGTGGTGAGGCACAGGTTGCCCAGAGAAGCTGTGGCTGCTCCAACTTGTGTTCAAGGCTCAGTTGGATGGGGCTCTGTGCAACCTGGACTAGTAGAGGTGTCCCTGCCCATGGCAGGGGTTGGAACTGGGTGATCTTTAAGGTCCATTCCAACCCAAGCCATTCTATGATTCTAAGGTTCTATAATATGAGAAGCTGCATGTCCTGAGCTCCATGGACCAAACTGTGACCTTTGCATGACCATCATATTTACAGACATTGCTCTCCAGCACTTGACTACTGCTGCCTTCTGGGAGTTTCCAGTTGACCAGAAATTTGGAAAGACATTATTGCTGTCTGATTTACAAATCAAATGTGAAAAACAGAATGATGTTTCCTGTGGGGGGAAAGGAAAAAGCCCTGTTAAGTTCTGGTCAGCTCAAAATATTAAGCAAGTTCCAACATATTGTAGAAGTACTTGTCATTTTAAATAATGTAAGGGCCTATTTACAAGTGGCAGGAGTATTGTTCTTTGTGCACAATGAAAACTGATGCAGGGATGTAGGCACGCAATAAAAAAGATAAAGATTTGCAATAAGGACACATTTGCCTCTGGCTCCTACAGGAGGCCCATTTTTATGAATTAGCTATTACATTGTGCCTGTTTATTGAACATCACCAACAATGTCTGAAACTGCACAGATCTTGTGATGAAACATGACTTCTGCCCAAGGAACTTTTTTAAAAGTTGTCTGCTGTTGCAGCCCACTGGAGTCAAAGCACAACGGGTACAACAGGGCAGTGATTTGTCCTTGCAGAAACAAGCTCTGCATTTCCAGAGTGCTTCTTAATGTTCCAGTGGCCATTTACATCTTCAATAATAGTGTTGTTTACGAAATATTGATGTTCTCATCAGCAGAAAAGAACAGCTTGTAGGTCACAATAACCTGTGTGTCAAATGTGAATCCCCTGTTAGCTTCAGCAGCATTGGCAAAGAGCACCTGAATGACCTCAGGCTGCAGCTCCCAAATATTGATTTCTTAAGACCTCTGTCCTGAATGAAATGAGTTGGTGTTTTACCTGGTGTCCAGAGACACAGTTCTGAGAGATACTGCCTTTAGATTTGACCTTTGTTCTCAGGGCATTCTGAAAAAAATTGAAACTAAACATATATATGATGGAAACAGGTACATAAAAAACAGCCTTTCTCACCTAGCCATCACCTCAGTGAAATATTTCTGAGGTGCATTAAACATATGATATAAAGAAGCTGTTTCTCATTTTGCTAAATCTGGTTTGTGGGTTTGTAATAATTTGAAGGCATTTAAGACTTAGAGAAATGATTTTTGTCTAAAAAAAAGTAACTTTTTTCACACATTAAAGGTTATTTCTTCTGAACCACGAATTTAATGCTAAGCCACATAATGCTGCCAGCAGGATAAGGCTTCACTTTAGATTAGCTGCAATTATCAAGAAACTGACTGAAGTAACACTTGTGCAGGCATTTCTAGCAAAGCAAACTCATTTAAATCACCTTGATAATTTCAAGAGCTCTGCCTTTTATTCCAAAATATTATCATGCTCACAGCTTTTCTTCCAAAAAGGATTGTGCAGATGTTTCTTTCTCCATGCTTAGATCGAGCAAGAAGCAGCATGGTCTCCACAGAAAGTGCCTCCTCAACATACGAAGAGCTAGCGAGAGCCTACGAGCATGCAAAGATGGAAGAGCAGCTGAGACATGCCAAGTTCACCATCACAGAGTGCTTCATATCAGACACCTCCTCGGAGCAGCTCACGGCAGGGACTAATGACTACACAGACAGCCTCACCTCAAGCACGCCGTCGGAGTCGGGGATCTGCAGGTTCACTGCGTCCCCCCCCAAACCTCAGGATGGAGGGAGAGTGATGAACATGGCAGTTCCAAAGGCACATCGGCCAGGTGAGACGTTAGAGGTAATGTTTTGGTCCTTGAGGGTGAAAATTTCAACTCGTGCCTAGGCTAGGCAACAGAAGAGGCAGAACAGGAGGAGGAAGGGAAGTACACAATGTATCCTGGAAGTACTGAAGAGGGACTAGTCAGAAATTGAGACAGGGAAGGTGCAGAGTAGATATTAGAGAAAACATTGTCACTGTTAGGGTGTTCGGGCACTGGAGTATTGCCCAGGGAGGTGGTGGACTCACCATCCCTGGAAGTGTTTCAGAGGTGTCTGGATCTGGTGCTGGGTGATATGGTTTAGAGGTTACAGCAGTGACAGGTTAACAGTTGGACTTTATGACCTTTAAAGGTCTCTTCCAACATTGAAGATTCTATGATTCCATGATTCTTGGATTCTACGATTCTGCTTACAGACACAATTGCTTTTTGTCCCAGCTAATATAACATTTGAGCACATTCTCCCATATAGAAAAAACTCGGAAATTTAGGAACAGAAAGAGACTGTCTGAGCCATCAAATCCACTCCTCTACTGTTGCAGCCATCAGGCAATTGACCCTTCTGGGATAAATAAGACCATATGTGGGTACATCTGCCCATCTTCAACTCCAGCCACTCACTGATGAAACACGTCTTACTGCAATACTTTGTGCTTGAGACCAAAAGTTCACTCTCATAGCAGTTCAGAAAGACAGATTGTTGAAGATGTGCTATCCCTTCTGCCTTGTAGCTTGTCAAATGTGTAATAACCCTTCAGTGATGTTCTTGAGCTGTTGCACTCTCTCTTTGACATCACCTAATATCAAACGAGGGGGTAGGAAAATGTAGAAAATTAAGATGGTGCAATAGCTCAAAGAATATGGAGCCTTTTACCTTCGGACGAATTTAAACCCACTCCAGCTTCTTACTGATTCTAAGAGCTTGAGGGACATCCATCTATTGGGCTCAATCAAATTTCCAGCTCACAAGCTGTTTCTAGTAATACCCCAGTGCCCAAAAGCAGAAGTAGATTATTTGTGATACTCTGAGATCAAGCATATAATAAAACCTTCTCAGAAGATTTGTCAGTCTTTGTTACAGGATACTTGATGTGACATCAGAGGAGAATTCAAATGGGAAAAAAAAGCATAATTACATTTGTGTGCTTTCCGAAAACATGACTTATTTGGTTTAGATTTGTTTTATTTTATTATTTTTCTTTAGTATATACGTTTGTCAGTGAGGATGGAGCTACTTATGTACACAGAAAGGAATCAGTAGTGCTCATCTATTTTTAAAAAAAAAGAGTAATGAATAAACTCTGTATGGTCTTTTGCTTAATATTAATCATAAGTGGAAAAACATTTATGAGAACAGAGGAGTGGAAGGTAGATGGTAGTATCAGGAAAGTCATTTCAAAAAAAAGAACCTGACACTGCAAAGAAAGCAGAAAGGATTTTGCTAGAGAAAGCTAGAAGAAAAAGCCCAAGCAGAAGGTAGAAAGTTATAATACTCAAGGCAGGAAATTAGTGTGTCACACAGATAAGAGGGGAAATAGGTAGGAAATAAAATAGTGAGAGAAACTGCTGATTTCTGTGTAGTCACAGAGTAGAACCACAAACCCAGAAGCTGTAGAAATAGATAAAGATAGAAATACTTTTCATTTCTACCTCAAAAGAGGTAAGATAAATATTTGTCCTTCCTCTGCTAAAGGGAAACATCTGCATTCACAGCTAAGTCAAAATTGCAGCTCTCTCTCCTTCCAGTCAGTCAACAAATATTTTTTTCATTTCTTTAACAAATATCTTCCTCTCTTCCTTTCATGTTGCAAATACATTATTTATGCATGTTTAGTATTTGGAAATATTCTAATATATTCCATATAGAGATGATTGCCTTGAGGGCATACAGCTCCAAAATTTGGTCCCCATGCTCGAGTTTAGAGCTTCCAGGCTTGGAACATCCCTAGAGCACCTCTAGTGATTTACAGACCTGTAGTCATGTTTAGCTCTGTTAGTTTTAATGGCTTAATTTTATTTTTTTTAATCTGCTTTTCTTGATTAGCTTTAGCTTTCCTTTGCAGTAAAGAAATATATTACAAAATTAAGAATTAGCTTCATTACCTTGAAAAAAAGATTTGAGTGTTCTGGTGGAACAACTTGAATCTTGGGCCATAAATATTGAGTACTACATTATTAAAAGTCACTTTATGAAGGGCTTTAAACAAAACACATGGGTGGAAAAAACTTTCAGGAGTAGCAGACAGACCAGTATTTTAGTGTTCAAATCAGTGAGGAAAGACTGTTGTGACATCTTTCTTCTTTCACCCACCACTTCAGAAACTCTGCTGAAGTCATTAGTACTTCAAATACAATTAACCAAAGTAATTCTGCACTTGAGAACATGGACAGGAAATAAAAAACTTAAGGTATTTAGATTGAATAAACAAGAACATCTGAGATGAAATAAAGTTTCAGCACATCTTTATTCTTCATTAAGGTGTCTTTTCTTTTAAGATAACTTTTACCTGTTTTCATGGTGCTTTGCTTTTCTTCTCAGCCAACTCAATCTTTCTTGGACAATGTCACTTTAAATAACTTATGTCTCCTTTCTAATTTCTGATCTCACTTTGCAAACTGCTGCCTATTGCAACTTGTGGCTGCAGTAGAGGTTTAAGAGTGGTATTTGTTGTTCCAAATAATCCCCAGCAATTATAAGACAGTCCCAGAAAGGCTGTAAGAAAAGGTTATTTTGATAAATGGGACATTTGGAAACTAATGGGATATTTGGAAAGTAATCTACCCAGTGGCAAAGCTGCAACCTTACTCAAGAAAGGTAATGATGGAATTTACTGGTGAAGACTTTGTCAGCCACAACTGACTGAGCACCAATTTCTTAGCTTGTTGCTGCTATAAGTGTTTGGTATGAGCAAGCAAAGTGTTCAATCACCTGAGGCTTGGCTTCAGAAGACCTTCCTGTGAGTTTCTGAAGGCATCCCAGCTCATCTCACTGATTGTTCCCTTGTTTTTCCTGATCATCTCACAGGATTCTCTAGTACCTGTATAGTCACTTCTCCCAACCACCATGATCAATCCAATTTGTTGAAAGTGACCTCACAATGGCATCTGCCAGTTCCTTCAGCACTTGCAGGTGCATTCCATCAAGATCCATGGATTTACATATATCCAGTTTGCTTAAGTATTCTCTGACCTGATTCTTGTCCACCAAAGGGAAGTCTTCCTTGCTCCAGACTCTTCCACTGATGTCTTGGACCTGGAATTCCTGAAGGCTGGTCTTGATAGCAAAGGCTGAGCCAAATAAGGCATTCAGTGCCTCAGCCTTTTCCATATCCTGTGTCACCAGGTTCCCTTCTCCATTCAGCAGCAAGACCACATTTTTCTTGCCCTTCCTATTGTCACCTGTATAGTCGCAGAAGACTTTCCTGTTGTCTTTGACATCCCTCTACAGATTCAACTTCAACTGGGCTTTTGATTTTCCTAACAACATTTCTGCATGCTTGGGCAGTGTCTCTGTGTTCCCTCTGGGTTATTTGTGCCTGCTTCCACCCTCTTGGGGACTTCTTCTTTGTGTCTGAGTTGTGCCAGAAGCTCCTTGTTCATCCATGCAGGCCCCCTGGCATTTTTGCCTGGGTTTCTGCTCATTTTGCTAGGAGGAGCTGATCCTTGAATATCACTCAGCTCTCCTGGACATGAGGCTGCTTCTAGCTGACTGTACAAGCAGCAGTAGATGTTTTCTGCATTGTCTGTGCTTCATTGTCCTGACACCAGGCCAAAGCTTTCAAGTGTATAGAGAAAGTGCTGCTAAACAGTCCAAAACAGGAGTTATATTTTTCTTAAATTTTGCAAAAGTCATAGCCACAGGAAATGGAACAGAGAAGTAAGATTACTTTAATTAATTCCTACATTCAGTGTTTTGAAAGCATGAGTTATGCATCCTGGTATTCTAATCTTTGCAATTCCATAGGCAGATCTTTGGGAAAAGGTGAGATTAGAACAATTTGCCCAGATCAGCTGTGGCTGCTCCATCCCTGGGAGTGTTCCAGGCCAGGTTGGATGGGGCTTGGAGCAGCCTGGGCTGGTGGAAAGTGTCCCTGCCCGTGGCAGGGGGTGGAACTAGATGATCTTTAAGGTCTCTTTAAACCCAAACCAGTCTGTGATTCTATGATTATTTGTAGCTCATCTGTAGATGGTGACATTTCTCAGGAACCCATCAGAATAGTCATGTGTCCCAGGAGGTACATTCAAAAGGAAAATTGAAGTAGTAGAGACACCAGAGCAGTATTTTAAACCCATGGGATAAATCACATACTTTGGAAAAGTGAGTCTTCCTAACTTCTGTGCAGTGGTAATATTCTTCATGGTATAAAAATGGTGGCAATATCTTGTTATCATTCCATCTTTCTCAGCATCAAAGCTGCCAGAAGTTTGGGATGGAGATCACTGTTCTCCTCCCCACGGTTGCCACTAACTAGAAGTTTGGTTAGCAAGATGAAGGAAAGGGCATATGGACTAATCATCTCAAAAGTATAGTATATCCTCCCAGAGCACAACTGAGGCACTTTTACATATAAATATTCATAAATTTCAGCAGTTGTTAACCAAACTTTACCTAAGAGGTTGGCAAATGAGTCAGTCCTTTGTCCTGAAAATGGGACAGAAATTGGAAAGAAATACACTCCCTTCCCACCTCCCACTGAGCCATCAGAGTCTGGAATGTAAAAGTATGGAAGATAATTGTAGAGGTTCAAAGAGTTTTATAATAATGTTTCTTTTTTTTCTGTTTTAAAAATACTAACTGCAAATTGAGTTATCATAACAATTATTCTTAACTGCAATAAACATTGCAGTAGCAGTTTATTAAAAATAGGTTCCCCTTATTATAATTTTAAATCTCAGTAATAGCCTCAGCCAAGAAGCCTGTTGAGTTTTTTTCTTCTCTTTACTCCCAAATAATTGTACTTGAGAAAAGAGCAGCTATTAACTGGGAAATATTTTGATATTCCTAT